TGGCTATGGGAGAGACAAAAGGGCTATGGAGAGTGGCAGTGGGGAGATGTAGGCAGCAGGACCAGGCAGGAACACAGCTGGTGGCACAGCTGTGGCAGCGCATCCAGCAGCCCCAGCTCCAAAAGCAGGCAGCTAAAAGTTCCTGCCTCACCTGGAAATTAAAGGCTGTAAAAAAGCTGAAAAGGTAATGTGTTTGGCTAAAGCTTTTGCCCATGTGCAGCACTGGGGGCAGATCCAGTGCTGATCACAGGAGGCACCCTGATGTTCATCCTACAACCGTGGTAAGGGATTGTGCTTGTTGGCTTATGAATCACTGTCTGTAAAAGGTCGTGTGTTCTCATGTGATTAGGTGGAGGGGAACTTCAGGCTGACTTCATGGCTATTGCTTGTTCCCTCTTCCCCTAAAACCCTTTAATGCATACTTTACTCAAACAGGGTATTTATTCATGGTGGTTTAACAGCAAGCCTTGCTTTTTCTCTTGAATATTCTTCTTTGTATTCCAGTGCAACCTAGGCCTCATACAAATGCTACAAATAATGTGTGTGCTTATTCTTAGCTGCCAATTTTGCTAAAGATGAGTAAGACTCACTTATTGCCCACTGAGTATTTTATTGTGGCAACAGCTTATCCATTTTTTATAGGAATTATATATTTAAACTGATGAAAATAGAGCCTTGCCTGCCTTGCTTGACTGTAATACATCCTGCTCATAGTAAATCTTGCTGTGGCATGTGTGGGCAGAAGCTTGTTCAGGGCATTTTCCCAAATATTGTCAGGTCAGAACAGGGACTGACCTTTATGAAAGACTGAAGTCTGTACAAAATCCCACTGGCCAGTCTTGTCCTTGCTCTGTTTTACCCGTTGTTGGCGAGACAGTAAAAGAGCTTGGGATGTCATTGCAGCCCTGTGGCATGGCCCCACATAAACTGATGTTTTTTTGGCACAAATTTGATGGCAAAGATGTGCAGAAAATGGCAGCTGGGAACCAGTTCTGGTGGCATCCAGTACAGAGGCTCTGTGACTGGACTGCAGGCTAGCAGACTTCACTTCCTTCCCTCACAGCAGTACTTTTTTTATTTATTTTTTTTTTTACTAATTTTATTAAGCAATTTATATTTTGCATCCATTCCCATTTCATAATTGTACTTCTACATGTACCTCTGACTGGGAGCAAGAATTTCATATAGACAAAAAACTCTTCCCACTCTTTCTCTTACGAGTGCTCTAACTGTGCACGGGATTATTAAAAAAATGTCAGTGTGAGAAACTGTGAAAGTGAATCACAAAGAGATGAGTGTAAAGGGTATTTGAGTTGCAAATCAGTAGGAAGTCTTTGTGAAACATTTAATGTGCACTTCTTGTGCTGAGTCTTCAGCTATTAATCCTGTTCATTTCCTCCTGTAATTGTCCTGATTTATTTGCACATAACCTCTCTTTCTAGTGACACTTAATGATCCAAACCCCTTGAAAACTGGGGGTCATTATCAAGAGCCCTTTCTTTGGATAGGTTACAAATGCATAGACATTTGCAAAGAATATTCCTCCAATCAGCATTCCTACATTTTATTGATTCACATGAGGAATAGAAACTAAACAGAATGTCAATTTTGTTGCAGTGAAATTTAACAGCTCGATGCACTACCATCTGTTTAAGGGAAAATACGATTCAAGAAAGAAAGGAAGCCAGAGAGAGGATGCTTAAGCACATAGTCAGCAGAAGAGTCAGGGGGAAAATCAGCACATTGGCTTTTCTGCTGAAGGCAAGAGCACAAGCAAGGACAGTAGCTGATGGATTGTGAAACCAAACTGCCAGGAGCTGTTGATACAATTGTACCACAGCTGCTGTTCAGCAAGTGATGCTGCCTTCCTCATTCTCCTTGTGCTTTTGACTAAATCTCTTCTGGAATGGGGAGCTTTCTGTGGCTAGTCATCTTTACATTTTGCTTGCGCAGCATCCAGCATCATGTTCGTAACCACTAATGTTCCCACAAATGATAAATTTAATAAAGAGAGTACCGTTTGCTTTTATTTTCTCACTGCTATTCATTTTGCTTGCTGATCTTTTGCAACACAAATCTTTCTGGCTCCCTTTTCAACCAAGAGCACAGTTCAGCAGTTAGGCTCAGTGCTAAATCACCTCTGCATATCCTCATTATACTTCAGTAGTAGAACTGCTAAGAAGCACAGAGGAATTCAGGATAGCTAAGAAAGTTTTTTCCCAAAGTCACATTTATTTGCAATGATTCTCCAGATGCTTCTTCAAGAAAGTGAAATAGATAGAGGACAACTAAAATATTTTCCCTTTCTCTAATTTTTTTTTCTTATTGTTTTTCCTTCATTGTTTGGTTAAAAATCAGCATATAGGCATGGGTGTTCAATGTATAACAACATTAAAACAGTTAAACATATAACATATATATAACATATAACATAAACATCTTTGCACCTTTTAACTGTATAATAGTTAAAAGGTGCAAAGAAAAATAAATTAACCATGGTATTGTTAATATGATGCTCCACCTGGGCATCCCAACAGTTAAATGCTGAAAGTTACTGCTGTTATCCTCCTACCATTTGCTGTCATCAAGGACCAGACAAGCTAGTTTATAATTATATAACATGAATATATATTAATTTTGTATTTCTATTAATGAAAAATGATTAGCATATAATGGGAGTTCTTGCTGCTTCCTTAAATGAAAAATTATATGGAAAAACTTTCTGTTGTTCAAGTCTGAAGCTATCCAGAAATAAGTGTCACAGAGGAAGAAAATCCATATATGAAATAGTAGTAAAAGAGAAAAATACTTTGCAGTACTAAAGAATTTTAGTAGAACTTTTCTGCTGAGTATAGGTGCTGAAATGATGTGTTATGTTGAAAACAGCTCAACTGTCTGAATGCAATTTTCTAGTAAGAGCAGACTTCTCCATGCGCCAGGCTGAAATAATCAGGGAAGAATTTTCAATTACTTTATTGCCCATTAGGGGAAAATCTAGCTCATAAATGTTACTAAAATCTCAGAATTTTTTCTTTAAAAGCCAATGGGCCAGTAGAAATCTGAGAGTGGAAGTGTTGATGCCCTAAGAGGTGCCTGGGACTTGACCTTAGCTAATGGATGGTTACAGGGATGAACTAGCTTGGGTTGTGAAAGCTGATGACCTCCTGGCTGCCCTGAGTCTGAGAATGTGAAACTTTTAATCATGTAAGAAGCAGTAAAGGAAATAGAACCAAAACCTTGGCTTGAGGAGGGAAGATGATGGCTTATTTAGGGGTCTGTCTGGCAGGATCTCACAGGAGGCTACCCTGGGAAGTAAAGGGAGCCAGGAGTGCTAGTTGACCTTCACTGACATCCCCATCAAAGAACAAAGAAACTCCATTCTGACACATGTGTGGTCAAGCAAGTGGGGCAGGCAGCCAGCATCCAGGAACAGACTCTCCTGCTGGAGTTCAGAGAGCAGGCAAGCACAGAGATGGTGGAAAGTACTTGCACCATGGAGCAAGCAGAGAAATTACCCTACATTCACTAAAATATGGAAGTGTTTACCAAAGCCAAAGCTCAACAAGCTCATATAGGACTCAAAGGGTAACAAAGCACTTCCCAGGTGCTTCTGGAAGTACATGGGCAGAAAGAAAAATGGAATCCTGCTCCTCAGGGGCTAGGTGACTTACTGACACAGGACATGGGAAAAGCTGAGGTGCTTAATGTCCTTTTTTGCCTTTTTTTTTTTTTTTACTAATGAGGTCTAGCTTCAGACATTGAGGCACTGAAGATAAAGACAGAACAGGGGAGCACTTCAGTTACTTGAATGCAACTAAATCCATGGAGCCAAGCAGGGTGTTTCCCAGGAAGTGGGAGAAGGCGGTGGTGTGAACCTTTAAGGTCAACAAAGGCAGTCCTGCATCTGGGGCCAAATTACCTCACGCCTCCAGTACAGCCTAAGCCCAGTGGTCAGAAAGCAGCTTTGCAGGAAAGTACCCAGGGATGCCAGAGCAGAAGCAGCTGAGCATAAGCCAGCCATGGGCTCTCACAGCAGGGAATGCCAATGGCATTGTGGGCTGTTATTAGTAAGAGTGTGCTCAGCAGGTTGATGGAAGGGATTGTTCCCCTCTGTTTGGCACGTGTGACACTGCAGCTGGGAGCGAGACAGCATCTGGAGCATCATGTTCAGTGAAAGAAAGATACAGATGAACTGGAACAAGTTCAGGTTTTGATGTGCAGCCAGGGCTGCCATCGGTGTTCACAGCTCAGAAAAGTTTCTCTCTGTTAGTTTGTTTTAAGTAACTCAGTTAAACACATAATTAACCAAGTGAAGCACAGCAGTCCATGACATACAGACCAGGTAAGACGATCTCGTATTTTGTGAATATAAAAGAATAAAAAAAATACAATGGAAAACAACATACAATTTTTCTTACCCAGAATGCGAGACTTGAAACAGAAAATTATTTATCATCAGCCTGTGCCTTTAGTGCACCAATGGAGCAACTTAATGCCTAAACTAAATACTTTGGAAAAAAAATTAGACATATTAATCATCTTCTAGGTTATTGTTTAAATGAATGTTTACATAGGTGTGTCAGCAAGCATCAGGAAGCTGCAGGAGACAGCTGGAATGCTGTAGAAGCTCACATTCACTGGGATACAGCTCCCACTGAACATCCCATCTACTTGTCGTGTTAACAATGATGAAAGAATAACTTGTACTTAGAGACACTGCCTAGTTAATTTCCATACATTAAAGCTTTAAACAAGGATTTGTATCCTAAACTCCAATGACAATATTGAGGCTATTGTACTAAAATATACTTTATTAAATACAAAATATTTTCCCTGTCATCAATAAATATATAGATAGTATCTATACAGATATATGTATATTCTTATACATTAATGTACATATGTTTATATTTCTCAGCTCTAATTCTTCCATGACATTTGTGTTATGCTGTGACATGTCCAGATTTTTACAATGTAATTGTAAATTACATACATTAATGTAAAATTAATAAATTTTATTATAAAAGTCAAATACATCAACTCTTTTCCCTTGTCTACAGACTTCAGCATCTTTTCTAATTGAGAAGTTGTGAATTTGTGAACTACTCCTCATGAGCTCTGAACGACGCTCACTCCTCTGAAAGATGTCACCAACATCTTCTCACTTCCATCTTCTGTCAAAACCTTCTAACCTGTTACAGAAAGACTTAACATCAGTAAGGATGCAGCATTCAGTTAAGGAACAGGCACCTTACACACTCTTTTTGATCTCTGCCATTAATTCTACCACACTTTTCATTTCTATCCCTCAAGTACAGCCTGTCAGCATAGGGACCTTCCTTGTTTTCTCTAGCTGGATACTGGAAAAATAAAGATCCAGATGATCCCTTTCTCATAGGCTGCCTTGTCCCAGACTCTCCAGGTCTGCTGTACAATAAACTCTGGTGCCTGCTACAAATTTCATCTTCCTGTGATATTATAGCTGGAGTTTCTTAACAGACTAAACCCAAACTCAAGGCTCCAGATACTAAAAGCCCAGAGCACCAATGATGCACACCACCACCCCAATCTGAAGGCCTACAGTAAGAAATTCAGTATTTTCTCATAAAACCCAGGTGTACCAGTTTTGAATTGGCAATGTTTCATTCTGCTGGGGCTGCAGTTCCTCATCTCTCCTGCTGCTGTCTGTAATTTTACTCTACCTCTTACGTGCTCTTATGTGGGCCACTGAAGCTGCTCTGGATGGGCATCTTTTCAGCTTCTTCAAGAATTAACTCCTCAAAGAGTGTGGTCTCATAACTTAAAAAAAACAACATTCTGCTACTTATTGGGAGAAAAAAACCACCAGAGTCCAGATTTATGTATTCTGGATATAAATTTTCACCAAAATGGTAAGACATAGCATAGAATTTAGCAAAACTAATTTAAATGTGGAATTAGAAAAATTGTTATATTTTCTAAAGCAATGCAAACGAGTAACAGGTTTATTTAAACTGCAGAGATCAAATAAACTAAAAAGAAAGAATTCAACACCTATAATGGATGCAGTGAAAATCAGATGATAACAAAAGAGTTACTGGCTATTGACAGAACTTTGTAGACTATCTGTTCTTCTGGAAGGCAATAAATTGCTCAGTAATTACTAGAATATGTGACTTTCCCAGGTGGCCTCCAGGGAGGACTCATTTCATTCCCATGGACAGCCTGCAACTTTTTTCGGTTCTTCTCAAGTTGTTCTCTCCTCATTTTGTTTTCCTGAGAATAAAAAGATGTGTGAAAAAAAGCCCAAACGAAAACCACCTGCCTCACCCCTCTACAATTATTGCTATGCCTTTCTTGTGTAAAATGAAAAGAAAACATGCAATGGAAATTTGCCATTTGGAGCTCGGCACATCCCTTTTAAAAGTTCACACAGACACTGCACGGTGGAACACAACAGGCTGCACACTGGGTGTCATTTACAATTCCTGTCTCAAGGAGGGGCTGGGTTTGTGCACTGTGAGGGGCTGGGTTTGTGCACTGTTTAAACAAATAGCCCAACAGATAGGTACTGAATTGGTATTGTATGTAATTAATCTCATATTAATTACTTGTTGTCCTTAAGAGGACACCTAAATCACAATGCAAAATACATTGCTCTCATATAATGGGAACATTGATGCATCATTGTAACTTGCTGTGCTTATTAAATCACACTTGCCATGTACTAGAACAAACTGGTAATTAAACAATTTAATTTTAAACAAAGATCTATTTAACTTATGTTATAAGCACTGCAAGGTTCTAATTCTATTTTCTATTGTTTCAAACAGCAGTGGCACAATTAGGATGATGAGAGATAAGCAAGATATTTGCAACACCTTTTTGTCTCATTAACTAATAATTTGCAAGAGACCTGTCATTCAAAAATTAAGTTGCAATCATTTATAATTATTTTTGAATTTCTAATCAGTTCTGTTCTACATAAAATTCTTCTTTCCAAAGATGACTGCCATTTCACCCTCAAGAGCAGCAGAATCTAAAGGTGCATTTGCATTACCAGTTTAGTAGATTGGTAAGCTCTCTATGGGTGCAAGTTTCCCTTGTCATCCCACTTACAGGTTTGTGGTGCATATGGGTGCACACTTCTTCCTGACTTAAAAGTAGTTTTTCTCTTGGTGGAACCAAGGTTGACATTATAGACCAGCATATAATTTACTGTTACTCTCACATAACCATGATCCTATTCCTCTGATGGATACAGTATATCCACAAATTCCCAAGATGCTGGCAGTGTCTTCCTGTTACTTCATATGCAAGCAGGGAAATAGTGAGGTAACTGTGGTTGAGAGAATAGACTGGAAAATGGGTGTGGAAGCATTACTGTAAAAAAGGGAGATTGAGTCAAGTTTTACACATATATAGTAATCAAACTACTGTGTCCAAAAACTGTAAAAAGCAAAGCAACACACTAAAATATCAACCCTATCAATATGATTTTAATCTGTGCCCTTCAGCTCTTTGTCAAAATAGATCTGAAGATCCAAGTCAGGAACACCAGTCTGGCTAAACAGGCACACAAGAATTTCATGTCGTTACTAGTAAGGCTGATTAAAAGCAAGGCAAGGTTTGCACGGAAAAGGAATGCCCTTTGCTAAAATAAACAATACTAATTTCATCACAGTCTAATAAAAAATGCTATCTCTCTGTACAAACTGTATCTTTCTGGATCACATGGAGAAATTGAGACAAACTAGGCTTGCAGCACTGTGACATTCTGACTCTTTTCATCCTTCACGTTTGCCTTCTTTTTCCTTCCAAAGAGATTTTGTCAGATGAACACAACTAGTGGCTTTGGGTCTTTAGAACAAATTCAAGATATTTTAAAATTCTTGAAGGGAACTGTTTAGAGAAAAGTAGTCTGCATTATCAGTGATATTTTTCAAAAAAAGATTTCAAGATATGTCAAGCAGTACAGATGAGCTTGGGAAGAATATGCTTTAAAGGAATACATTTATGACAGATGCTCCTGTGTCTCTAATCATAGAATTGTATTGTACAAGGGTATATATATGCCATCAGGACAGGCAAGTGAATACTCATTAAAAATAAGGCTTACTGCAGCAGCATTGCAAGCATCAGAGAGACTGCAAGAAATGTGCATATTTTATATTTTATCGAGCACTCTCTGCTGAACATATGTTGCACAATAGACTCAAGTATTAAAAACCACAACCAAAAATAAAGCATACACCCACCCACAAAAGGAACGAAAGCTGCTTTGGATTTTTTAACTGTGCTTCAGTTTTGAATGTTTGGGTTTGAAGACCCAATTTTCATTAATGAATCCCAGTGGCAAAGAAAGAGTCTTGAGTTAATTTAACTTATTTTAAAAGATTAAATTTGAAGTGAAGATCTACTGGACTCCTCCCTTTCTTCAACACACACAAAGTTGTTCATTCTTGTCATAACTGCAGTGCAAATTCTCACAAGACATAACTGATAAATGTTCCATAGAATAAACAACAAGATGTTATTTGCAGTAGTTGAAGAAGAGTAAAAGAAACAGTGAAAGATTAAATCAATAACTGTATCTTGCCTTACACTGGATCAACTCAACTGTGTAGCTTGATTTCTGTGGAAGTTTTCTACTCAGTAATCTAGTACAATGAATACATTTTTCACTTATCAAATTCTTTAGCAGTATGACTGTCACATAGAAACTGAATTTTACATATTACAGAAGACTGACAATATTTAAGAGAAATAACAATAGCAGCCTTATTTCTAACCTACTACAATGACAGACCATGAAAATTGCAATATAGAAAGTATTTTCAGAGATATCTTATTAAACAACATGAAATTAGTAACCCACATCAGGTATTTCTAACACAGAAAAGCAACAAGTCCACGGGACTTATCCAGTACATCCTTTCTTGATGTTTTTAAACAGCTTTAGAATGTCAAAAATAGATATTGCACATGCTCAAATTCAAGGTAAAATGTCAAACTTCTTCTAAGGCTTTCAACATTACTATGCTGGTCTTCGAGAACTATTTGAGAGTGGCCCTAATTCTCAGCAGCTCATGGTAGGCTGACATTTATCACAGAAAATGGACAACATAACTCACCTATCCACAGTAAATAGGTATCAAGATTAGTATCTCAGAAATAATGGAAACTAAACTGATTTGTCATTATAAACTTCCTTTGTGATTCTTGTCCACACTCCCCTGCTCAGAATAGGTGCATGTCAACGACAAGAGTCAGACACTGGTATAATGCAGTAGTAAAAAATTATCATTTATCAAGTTAGATTGACTTGAAGAGTTCTTGGTGACTAGCAAGAAGCAAATGATAGGAAAGAAACAAAATAATCAGAAGCTTGAATTTCCAGGTAATACTAAAGCATCTCACCTCAAGATTATCCTTTTCATGTCAGTATTTTACAAGTGTTAATAGCCTTTTCCAGGGCATTTATTTCCAGGCTTAAAAAGTAATCTTCTCTATGCATTTATGCTATCAAACATTTACACAATGACCTCCAAAAGCAGAAGTTACAGAATTTCCATTAACATAAGATCAGAATGTTTCTTCTATTTTAGAAGAACTACAATGAAATTTTTATGTCTGTTTTATCCATGGATTGTGGTCAACACCTGTTTCAGGAAACCTGAGGATGAATTTACACATTTATTTCTGTTGAATGAAAACATATTAGAATACTTCCCACTATACGACTCCTATTTTATTTCCCTTAAAAATAATCCTGTTAGTTGAAAGAATACTCTTAAAAGGCTTCCAAATTCTGCCCTCAGACCTGATGCCTATCTTCCTGCAGGCAGGTGTCATCTGAGTTCCCTAGGTAATACAATGACAACTTTACAGTGTTTCTCTCCTGCAGTTCACTAATGGTCTGTATTTTTTCTGTAACTGTACAAAATAAGACAATATTCTGGCCAAAAACTGTAACAGAGCTATCTCCCACGCTTTCTCAATTAAAGGTGTCTAAGTTGCAAAGAGACAGTACAAACTCTGAAAGTAAAAATGTGAAGACTGGGCACGAGACACATTAGTCAACACTTGCACACAGACACAGAAAACGGGATCATTGTAGAGGTACCTCTGCCAAGCACTTCAGTACTTATCCCATCCTACAATTGCTTATTTCTCATGTAAGCACACGTGTATCCAGTGAGATCTGGTCATTCTCCCAACCACTAAAATTTTTATTAATAATCCCACTGAAGTGATTGACCTCAGGAATTTACACATTTACACACAATTTGTAGAGGGCAGTACTGTGCTAGACAGCATCTTCCACTCCCCCAAAAAAAGAGGTGTTTTTTTACCTTCATACAGAGTCCAGGATAGCAGGGAAGTCAAATGTACAATGAAAAGTAATATTCTTGCTTTGGTACAACTAAGCTGATTAAGATAGTCTCGGTAAGCAGAGCATAGCAGGGCAGTGCATTAGTTACTGCTCAAAGCATAGTACTCCTTACCATGGCAATCAGGAATATTGACCAGTCAAGAAATAACTTAAGATCAGACATTAATAATTTGCTAAACTGAGCTGAAAAATCTCTGGACAATAGGGACCAGAAAAAAAAAAAAAAAATCTTATCAGTGATTACAGAAGTGAAAGGTATTTCAATAGGGGACCAGATCAAACATCTTAAAAGATCTAAATCTAAGACTAAAAAAGTTTGGAAACAGAGAGAAGGGAAAACATGCAGGCTGTGTATTTCTGAGTTAGCCAAGTAAAGGATGATTGTCCTCTCTAAATCTGTCCCACACCTGTACAGCTGCCTGACTCAGTTCTCATCTACTTGCCTCTCTCTCCTGAAAAAAAAAAAAATAAAATTAAGCTATTGACAGTAAAGAGGAATTCCTGTAAGGACCTTAATCCAGCTGGGTTTCAAGATCCCATTCTTAAAAATGGCAACAGAGATCACATGTACAAGTCATGCCAGAAATTACATGGAAGACACTACAGAAGAAACACTTTCTAACTGAAAGACTGTCACAGGTTGGGGAATTGAAACAGGTTCTTCTTTAACTGGCAAGTTACATACCTCTAAGAAATGTCACATACATGCTAAGAATATTAGTGATCTCTCTTCTAGTTTGTATTTCTGCAGCAAGGAAAAAAACCCTGCCTTATTGTTGGGACTAGAGTACTGGATTAATTTACTACTTTAAAACTGGGACACTGCTGTGAGAAAAATATAATTGGGAGCATCAGACTTCCACCCCTTCTCACAGATGGAAATCATCTTGAACCTCATTAAAAGTGCTTTTATCAGTTGTGAGGTATCCAAGTCTCCATTCTCAACACTTCTTGAATGTACACACACTGACTGTTACAGATGGCAATGCTGTTTGACTTTGCAGGTTTTGTGCTCTGGCTAATTGACCCTTCAGAGATGGTTGCTCCTGATATGGAATGGCAAAAATTTAAGACTAATGGAAATTGAAAGCTCTATGACATGTAGGCAGGGAGAATATATTTTCCATGCCTGCCAGGTATCAAGTGCACCATACTTAAGCAACGTTTTGCTCACAAATTCTGGGGGACAAGCAATGTAATGCTGCCACCATCTGGCCTCTCTCATAACAGCACAACACCCCACGAGTATTACGATACTCAAGTGCTCACACTCATTACTATATCAAACGTCTTCGTTTTGACAAAATTCAAAAAAAACCCAAAAAGCCCAACCAAACATACCAGCCATCTTTCATATTCCTCCACAGCCTTTTCTCTTTTTTCTTCCTTCTTTGCCTGTTGCATTGCTCGCTTTCTTTTCTCCAGGAATTTTTCTACTTTCTTCTTTTTTATATATTCTTCCTTCTTTTTATTCCTGCACAGTGAGAGGGAAGAGCAAGAGGTCATCATGTACAGACTAAAAGCTGCATCTGTGATCAATGAGGTAAACTGAGTCAAAATATGTATTTTACACTTTTATTAAAAGATTGAGAATGTGTATTTAAAAATCTTCCATGTCCATTCTTATACCTCACCAATGCATAAATTAATCTACTACTCTATCTATTATGGCATCACCTTTACTGTACTTTGTTCTCCCTTATTTAGTATCAAAAAAAAATCATTCTGAACTTCTATAGGTAACTGTAAGTTGTGCATTGTCTGTGAGTACTCTTGGCTTGTAAAATTAATATAGAATATCTCCAGCAGATACATCTCATTTCATTCTCCCTACATCTGCACTCCTACATTGTATTCCATGAAACCTTAAAAGATTTACCTTCCTTCCTATGGCTTAGTAATGAAGCATGAAAATAACCACGTAAGACACAATACTACTCAATGAATTTTCTCATTTACAGTATCTCTGCCTGGATTTAGTTAATATCCTCTTGGGGAGGAAAGCAACTAAATTAATAAACTGAAGGGAGCCTCACAGCTTGTTTTCACTGTTAGACTTTGCCTCTATTGGGAATGAAGAGTCTGATCCCAAGCATTCCATTGTCATCCAATTACAAGCACATCAAGTATTCACAGAAGACCTATTACGTTTATAAGCAATGATTTTGGAAGCTTTGATATGACAAACACAGTGGAGAAGTACCATTTTTCAACCGCTGATACACTGACTTTCCTCTTCTCTGCAACTAGGTCCTCTTCTATCTTCTTCCTCATTCTTTCAGACTGTTTTTCCTTCCTGCTTTGCTCTCTTAAATATTCCACTTTTCTTTCTTGCCATTTTTTGAATGCCTAAAGACAACCACAGATCCATGAGAAATCTTACCTGTCACCTTTCCGTCAATACTCCACAAATCTATTCTCCATTATTACTTTTTGTAATTTCTACACATTCTAATTTCAGAATATTTGCTTGTAGAATTGCTCAGAAGTATCACTATACCTAAAAAGAATCTTGTTTTTGCAGTAGGTAACAGTTAATTTCTAATATATTTATATAAATTTATTTTACACTCGGTTAATAGACTCCAAATATGTGCAGCCTGTTTGTCTGTAAGTGTAAAGATTACATATTTCTGACAGAACAAAACCTAATACAAGCTTCCTTCCAAACCTAGCCATGTCTAGATTTAAGATTCTAGCTCATTTCTATCTCTTTCTGGATCAATCAAAATTATTTTTTACCATCTCCTGAACCACATTCAAATACACATTTATGTACATATTTCACATCACCGCTTGTGCTGCTTCTGTTTTTTCCTTAGTCTGTTCTGGTTTCTTTTCCTCAAGTTCCGCAAGCTTTTTTTTTTCACTTAACTTCTTTGCTTCTTGCTCTTTCTTTTTTTTCCAGGCCTCATAACATGCAATTGATTCTTCTCTTTTAAGTGCTTCTTTCTAGATTGGAAATAAAAGCCTACATTTAAATCAATTTCAGTATAAAATTCTAAATGAAATAGTATGCTTTAAACTTATTGCTAAATGGAGCAATAAAGAAACAGAAATTGATTTCCTGATAACATTACAAGTATTACAATTAAATTTAAAGCATATATAGTGTTTTTTTTCTATTCCCATTTTTAATTTAATTGAATGACACGAGCTACTGCCAAGTATATGTAGAAGAATAAGAAATACATGTTAAGTACTTAGAAGTGAAACATACTAAATACTTAAAAGCCGAATCAAAGAATGATACTATTCAAGGTAAGAGTCCTCTGTAGGTAAGCATCTCTTGAGGAAGGGAGTGGATGCCTCATGTTCTCATGCACAAAACAAAACTTAGCACTGTAAGAGCTGAGTATCCCAAGGTCTTTGTAAACTGACCTGAAAATTAATCTAGGAAGCACAATTCTAACAAACCTTATGTAAACGTGTAGGGAAGCATTGGACAGACACAGTTTGCCACAAACCCAACAAGCAGGAGATGCTATTTATTGTTTCACATCACCTTGTGCTATTTGGAGAAAACCAGATACATTACAAAAGCAGAGGGATGCACTTAGGTGGGAAGCAGACTTCAAAGAATCATAGTTTGTAAACTTCTTTTTAAAAAATAATGCAAACCAACCTTTTCAGTATCGTTCCTAAGAATTTCAGCTTTTTCCTTTTCACTCCTCTTTAATTCCAGTAGAAGGAGATTTTTCTTTTCCAACCAGTTCTGTAAGAATCATTATAATATTATTAAAGTCCTCTTAAGATAAAGGAAACAGCAGAACCAATATAATGGCCACCAAAATTACTCTTAGCTCTTCCATGTGCTAGTTAATAGCATCCCATGTGGAAAACTAAGCTGTCATCACACAAACATTGTGATCAAAACCATCTAAGATTCTGAAATCACAGCTACAAAATCAAAATCTAACCAACAGAATAAAAGGATTACTATACCTGTAAGCCAGTCAAAGGAAAATAGTAAAAAATATTGATTTCAAGAAAATATGAGGTGCTAATCCCTGTATCAGGACCTTTACACGCTCAATTCTGCTTGTTGGTTTGTTAATTTTTTTAATCTACCTGATAAACAGCTGCCCTTAAATTATCTACTTTGTTGAATTCTGGACTTTTCATCTGCATGCTTTTCATCTGCATGCGTTTATCCTCCAACACTTTTAATGATCCCAGATACTGAGATGAAACAGGTGAAGTTGATGGAACAGCTTTCCCCTTTCTCTTTAAATGCGCAGAAGTTGTAGACCTAGGAAAATACCAGGACAAAAACACATTAATGACCTTTCCATTTACTGTAGCTCATAAAAAGTAGTGATCTTATTTCAGTGCATACCAAAAGTTACTGTGTTTTGGTTTTTTTTTAATATGCATTTGGCTGGGGACTGGGAAAAGGAAAAGGAGAAAGAATTTACCTCTTTTAAGTTTACAAATTACTTACACTTACTTACAGCTTAGAGCCTGTAAAGACTCCAGTAACACACTCATCACTGGCAAAAGATTTGGGAGTCAGATCTGCCATAAACCTGAGCAAGGGTCATAACAACATGCCACATGCACTAAACTGTTTTCCACAAATGGTCAGAGATTGTCAGCAGCAAAGACAATGCTGACAGAAAATGAGAGGGGAGTAGCACTGTCGGGGTGCTTACAGGCATCCTAAATAGCTCAGAATAATACTCTGCATTCTTTTCTCACCTGTCAGATAAAGAAGCCTTTGGGTTTTCTAGAACTCTCTCCTTTGTTTCATTTAGTTTCTAAGAAATAGACAGGAAAAGTAAAGTTATAGAGTCTCTTAAGCAAAAGACCAGGATGAAACAGGTTTTTACAAGCTAACAGTGACACTGAGAACTGGACTCAGACCATATGAGTCCCTTCCAAGTCAAGATATTTGATGGTCTTATGATATAAAAACAGGCAAGAAAGACACCCTAATAAAGAGAGAGTATAGTACAGGGTAAGAAAGTAAGGAGAGAAGAAAACAAAACAAAACGAACAAAAGCCCCCAAACCAACCAATCGACCAAACGACCAATCGGCCAACCAATCAACCAAACTTTCAGAATGCCTGTGTCATTTTGGAAAGGCAGCTAGAAATGTTCATTTGTATTATTTAAAAATACAGTCAATAGTTTAGAAATAATAAAAAGTAAAAAGAACACAACAGATTTATTCTATAAACACTGTTTTAAGTATTTTGAATATTTAGCTTTAATACGTATCAACGTATTTTATATGTATCTATGTATTTTCTTTTTAGGATAAGGCATCATCCTAAGATTTGCATCTTAGCCATTATTCAGGTCACACATTCCATTCTCTGCCAACACAAACTGCTCACTGCTATTCAGCTATCCTCACAACAGAGATTTGACATTTTCACTTTGAAAAGGGTGCTTTCTTAAGGCTGGAAAACACATTTCAATACCTTTATCTGACTTAAATAATTTGTGGAAAAGGTATTCCTTACATCTTTCATAAAGCTATACAGAATTTATAAAACCCTTGGCTCTAGAAACCAGATATAAATTGTCAGCTTTCCAGTGTTCTACACACTTAAGATACCAACAGCATCTTTACAAAACTCTCCACTGTTCTTCTAGGAGATTGTTACAAACCATGGTAAACTGTGTATGAGCTATGTATGTGTACCTTGACAGAGCTCTTGGATGTGTTCTTTGCCTCTCCATGCTCAGATTTATCATTCACTGATACCTTCTGCATTGTATCAGTTATTATTTGCCCTTCTGCTATTTTCATCATTCCATCTGAACTGTCAACAGAAGGGGATTGCCTACCATTGTCCTCCAGTTTCAACTCACTGGTGCTGGCAGTCTTCTTCTGATCTTGATCTAAAGAAGGAAAAAAGATTGAGAGGACACATTAACAAGAACTTCATTGTTTTTGAGTATTGTTTTTTTCTGAATAAAATGTATTTCTAGAAAAACCACCCATTTGTGAAAGTTGTTATTAAATTTCATATAATGTATTTTCTGTATGCCTCCTTCTAAGAACTAAGAACTGATAAGAAGAGTATTCATCTGTATTTTCATGTAAAACTGGAGTAGCAACTGAAGTTTGAACTAATGTTAGAGAATGCGAGAGCAAAACAAAGGCAAAGTTTTCCATCTGTCTTATGTGGCTCTAGTGCCAAAAGCAAAACCAAAAGCAAGAGTCACTGCAGTCACAGCAAGAGCTCTTCTGACATCCAGCAAACTTCTAATGAAGTATACCAGTTAACACTCTGGGTAGCAAATGCTGTTTTCATTGTGTAGGCGTGGGACACACGAGTGAATAACTAAAAATTCTGCAGTGGGGATTTAAAGAAAACATCACTAAAACAATTCAGACACAAGTCAAAAATGCTCCAGTAAAACCAAATTAGAAGTCTTACACAAATTTCCAATAGAATTCTTCAGAAAAACAGAATTTTTGGATGATAAATTAACTTCCAATCACCTGAAGAAAGGAACATTAATGCCCACAATCTAAGAAATTTAACCTAAATTTACAGTGATGAAGGTAAATTCAAGGTGACAAACGTATGGAATTCTTTGAATTTTAACCAATATTGCAGTGTCTCACTGCACTACTTTGATTCACATGAAGAAAAGCAGTTCAACCTCTTTTCTGCCAGTCGAAAACTACACAGGCACACCAGCCAGGAAAGAGATGTGTCTGCACATTCAAATATCTAGCATTTTGGTGCCATCATGTGGAAAAATGAAGCTGCTGC